TATTTCTGTTCTACTTTTTCTACTATTTTTTATTATCTTGTGTTAAAATGTTACAGTAAGGAATTTATATTGCGGATCTATTATTGATTATATTAATATATATTTCGTATGAGATGAAAAAATTATATAAAATGACCAATTTCCGTGAACCCATCTTTCTTCACCCAACAAAGAGGTGCGTGTCTTTTGTTCTCTCTTAAAATATTCCACCCTTTGGTTTATCTTATAGGTTCCCAAATAAGTGATAGTAACAATAGTTAAAATCTTTTTCTTTTAACTACGGGATTTATATATCACTAAAAAAGATACCAAAAACTCTAAACCAGATAAAAGTTTAAATCAAGGTTTTTTTTTCTTTTACCCTTTATTTGAACCAATAAACTCTTTTACAAAAAAAACAGACTGATTTTTCTTTTGTTGCCTAAAATCGTCAAAAAAACGTTCACATTTTCGATTACATACGACCTAAAAAGAAATTTTCATATAAATACGTAACGAATTCACCCAAAAGACTTGAACTTGAAAATTTTTAAAAAGATACGTAAAACATAGGTATCAAAGAAAAAATACCAAGTATCAAGAAATATCGAACAGAGAAAATATCAGGCAGACAGTCAGAACAGTCAAAAAACATTTTAAAAACAGTCAGTAAAGAACAATAAAGAACAATAAAGAACAGAACAGAGAAATATATCAAACAATCAAACAGACAAAATGAAAAATAACAGTATATTTTCACGCAACCGCAAGATCCATAATCCATTCAAGAAGAGAAACTCACCTAGCAAGTCACATTCACACAGCTTTCATCAACAAAATGTAATAAGCGCACTAGGTGGTATGCCACACGATTTTGATTTCGATTTTCAATCGGCGACAGAAACACCGACAGTCTGTTCCTCAAGGCGAAGCTCGATTTACAGCATATCGTCAATACAAAGTCAAAGTATAGGTCCGATTCATAGCGTGTACACATATTATCCGACACATCATTATAATATGGCAACCGAGAAGCATCATCATCATCATCATAAGAATCAATGTTGCCATAACGTAAATTGTAAGAAAGCAAAGAAAGAAAAACGAAATAGTTCGGAATCATATAATCCAAGGCAAAGCTTCATAGGATTCAAACTCTGGTTTCGATTAACCATGGTGAAAGTCAGAAGAACTTTTCGTTAATCCTACGACAACATCAACAACATCAACAACATCAACATAGAGAATTAGTTTGTAATCTTGATGATTACTTATTATTCTTTAAGAAATTTGATCGATGTTTTTTCTTCGGACAATAATTTTTTGCCGAGTTATACATATAAATATATACATAGTTTTTTTTTCAATATTATATATATATTTTTTTCTTTCAAGTACATAAGTAACAATCAGCGGGTTTTTGGTACTCACGCATATATATTAGACTATATTATAATGACTTAATTGTTAATTCAAGTTTTAATAATCCTTTTTTTTTTGACGCGGTGTCAAAAAAAAAAAAGTATATGGTCATATGGTACCTATAATCTATATTAATTATCACGAACTTGAAGCAACAGGGAATAGACAAAAAAACGCACGACTCAGACTTTCGATAAGACGACTCAACGAGAAAGAAAAATAGCATATAGAATTTCTTATTATATATAATTCTTTTATATTCTTGTATATAGTCGCATTTTTTTTTTATTACTTAATTAGAGTTGATAAAATAACCACCGGATTGGTTATTCATTCAACAACTCTTGTTCCTCTATATTCCAACTATATACAATCCTTTTTTATCAAATCGTTTTTTTTAAATCCTTGTTTCTAATCCTTGGCCAAATTCCGGGTTAAAACAAGGCACAAACACAAACATCGTTCCTATTCGATTTTAATGATTTTAAATAACGTTTTAAAATTTCGACGAAATCACAAATCACAAACACAAACAAAAAATTTTCTTATGAATTCAAATTTTGGTTTTCTTTCTCTTTTCGCGTTTTTTTTTTTTTTTTTAAAAAAAAAAAATCATTAGAGATAGATTGTAAATATTAAATTTATAGACGTTTTAATTCTTTCACGCAAATCATAAATCATAATTCATGAACCTCATCTTTTCATTATCAAAGTTTAGGTTTACAATCGTTCCTTTATTTTTTCACAATACATTACATACAACACATTATAGAAATATATATATGTATTATATGATATAAAAGCTGTGCTTTTCAAATAATAGATATTAGCATATAGTAAATAATTTCGCATCATAATAGACTTTTTTTTTTTTTCTTTTTCCACCACTACAATTTTATAGATCACATAACATACACACAAACTCATATAGCATTTTTCATATTCAAATCATCATCAACATTTTTTTCTTAAGCTGATTGTTACGATCATATTTTTCTCATATAAAACAATAAATTTTAATTTCACAACATTTCTCCACATTCACGAAAAATTATGAACCAAAGTTTTTTTTTTTTTTTTTTTTTCTTTATTAATTGTATAATATTGTATTTTTTTTTTGAAATTATGAAAATATAACAAATATAACGATAAAAAATTATATTTGAATATTTGCAAAATGTGAAACTATTGAGTGAGTAAAGTTTTAAAAATGTTTTAAAGTTAAAAGTTATAAAGTTTGTATGTGTAAACTAGTAACTAGTGAGTAATAGTGAGTAATTAGTGAGTGACTAGTGAGTGACTAGTGAGTGTGAGTGTGAGGTACACACGATGCACTATTTCGGCTTGTTTCGAAAAATTACCGTAACTGGTTCGAATAAGCCGAAACAGTTTCGGTCACATTTATAGTCAATAAATAGTCGATAAATAGTAGTTAATGTTGTAATGTAGTTATTCAACTTTATTCAACTTTATTCAACTTTTATTCAACTTTATTCAACTGTCAAATAAAATTAAAGACAATCGTGAGAAAATTTATTATTACAATTTAGTTAACGCGACACGTTTTTTTTAGCACGATGTTTTTTGATTTTTTTTTTTTCACCACGATTTTTTTATTTTTTTTTTCATGATATTTCAAGTAGACCACATGTTTGTGATCTTCGTTTATTAATAAAAAGCTTGAACCAAAGAATTAAAAAGTCTTGAATACACATGATTACACAAATAAATCATGTTTATTTTTTGTGTACACCCACACCTTAATTCTTTACGATTTCTGATACGTACACTTTACTATAACAAAGAAGTAATGTAGGTAACAATTTAAGTCAACAAAATATACAATAATAACGACCGTTAAATGTTGAATACTATGAATACTACGAAGGAAACAATTTCTGTGATCGATCGTTAACAGTAATTTATTATAATTTATAATAATTTATTAGAATTTATTAGAATTTATTATAATTTATAATAATTTATTAGAATTGATTATAATTTATAATAATTTATTAGAATTGATTATAATTTATTTTATATCGATATCTTTTTTTTTAAAACAATCTTTTTTTGAAAAACAAAAAACCAATCAATTTTGACAATCTATTTTTTTTGATCCAATCAATTTTGATTATCTATTTGTGTGCCAATTAAATTTAATTATTTTTTCAAGAAAACCAATCAAATTCTAAAGAGGAAATTAAACACCGAAATGGCCGAAAGGACAATGTTTGTTAAAATAGTTGTGTTTTAGGAGAACCTTTTCATTCCTTTATGAATCCTTATGATTCGCTCCCAAATGTCTACCAATGTTCCCCAAATGTCGACTAATGTCGACTAATGTCGACCAATGTCTGAAGATTCACATAATACATAATGTTCAAAAGATTCACGTTTTAAGATTCGCTTTAATAAAAATTTAATTTTAGTGACAATATAACAATAACGATAATACAGATAATATTAATAATGAATAATGGTATGTAAGAATGATAACGTAAGAACGATTATATAATTTTTTTTAATTTTTTAAAAGTATATACTCTTTATCGTTATTAAGATCATTAGTAGGATCATTGTTAGGATCATTGTTAGGATCACTGTTAGGATCACTGTTAGGATCACTGTTAGGATCATTATTAGAAATATCGGGAAATTTCTTTGATATATACTTGTCTGTATATTTGTACCTGTATAAATCAAATCCGGTAATATTCGTTCTTTGTATTGATTGTTTAAAAAAAAAAATTTTTTTTTTTTTTTATTTTATTTTAAAGAAGTATATATATACATCAGTTATATATATAAATGTAGCCTGTAACTCGTGCATCGCTTCATATGAAAGTTAATAGTTCCCTCAATTGTTAATTTGACACCTGCGCATCGGTTTTTTTTAAGCATATCTGATTTTACCGGTTAAGGAGTCGTTTATCAAGGTGACTTCTTGTAAAAGAGATAGAGTTATGATTATGAAAGATCCCTTTTTTTTTAAACAATTAAGAATAACCTCCTTAATTGTATAAAAAGCGTTACATGTTGTTGCTTCTTTTCTATTAAAGATTTAGCAAAAAAAAAAAAAAAAAGTTTTTTGTTCCTTTGAAAATTTCTCACGAAAAACGTATGATTTACACATGTTCTAAACCTCATGGAGATTAAACTACTTGGTCTCTCTTGTAATGGTATTGTACTTTGTATTTTGTTTGAATAAAAATGAATAAAAATGAATTAAAATGAATTAAATGAATTTAAATGAATTAAAAAATAAAAAGATCGAAAAAGGTAAATTCGACACGATCTTTTGGTAACGAGTAAAAATCTACTTTGGTAAGCCGCAGTATTATACCACAATTAGAATTTTATATGCAGCTTTTTTCGACAAATATAGAAAACGGATCCTTTTGCCTTGTATCAGATCTTTTTTTTTTCCACCACAAAAATTTTTGCTTTTTGCTCACGTAATAAAATTTTCAAGCTTTTGGTTTCAAAATCCTTTTAATAACGATAAAATTAAATAGATTAAATATTCTGGTTAAACTGTATCATAATAAACCAGTTTTTTAATAAACAAGGGAGAGTTTCAATTTCCTGTATGGGTTGCTAAAGGTGTTAAAGTTTGTTTTTTGGCGAGTATTTGGCGTAATAAAAAAAAAAGAATTTGGAATAAAATTTTTTGCCACACTTAGAATTCTAAATATTATTAAAATTTTAATTAATTATATATAAGGTAAAAATTTATAAATAGAAATATATGAAATATCAATCGATATATAGATCGATATATAGAAATTTATCCGCAGAAATACGTATCATGTATCCATCGGAGTAGAAAATCTTAACACCCGCACTATGTCATTAATACGGTAAATACTACAGTAAATACTAGTAAATACTACGGAACGGAAGATTCCTAAAATCAGATTAAGTTATATAATTCCATAACAATAATAACAATACATAATAAGTCTATAACTTATAAGGATATAACGATAATGATAATGATAAGATAATAAAGGTGAATTTATTAATTAATCCTTATGATTACTTATGATTAATTCATTCAATAAACGAACCGTTTTCATTCGTATTATAAATTTTTACATACGCAGAATTCCGTTGTATCGGCCATAAGCGACACAAAGCGATAATCAAACAACGGAATCTTCTACGTACGTACGTACGTATCTGGTATCTATGTACCTATAATCGAATAGGTACAAAAAGATTTGATCATTACTTAACGTTAAAATGAAAATGTAGTAGTTTCACATATTCCGAAATAAACCTACCATTTAAAAAATACGTAAACGTATGTACGTACATACGTACGTTTACGTAGTTACGTATGTATGTGAATAACTAATTAGTATTAAAAAAGAAAAAAACGCCACAGTTCTCCATTTCAAATCAACTATTTACATATTTACGTATATACGTTACATAAATAGTTATCATTCAATGATAATTTAATAATAATTTGTAGCCCCCCAACATCTTATGAACATCTTATGAACATCTTATGAGCATCGTATGAGCATCTTATGAGCGTCGTATGAGAGCAATGTCATATGAGCAATATCAAGTAAGCAAGATTATACGTTTATAATAAAATTTCTCTTTGACAAACGATAATCAATTATCGTTATACGTACGTACTTTATCTATACTTTATCTTTATACTTTATCTTATCAAAGATTCTACAATCTTGAATACAATTCTGCGATCTTGGATTACAATTCTACAATCTTGGATTACAAAGATACATGATGACGCCATATAACAGTATCAGGGTCCCTAATTTTAATATATATATACTATAGTATGCAATCTAGACCTATTTTTCTCTTTAGCATCCTCTTTAGTAGTTCATCTAATTCATTTGAAAAAGTTTTATCCCCAAAAACTAGCGCTAAATCTGGCACATACATTCTTTCATTATTACCAAATGGTTTTAATTCTGGTCCAGAACCAGGTTAATTGTGGCGTTTAAACTAAAAATTCTTAGATTACATAAACTTAAAAAAAAATAACTTTTTTAAAAAAAAAAAAAAAAACATTTGATCTAAAAAGAGTTATGTCCACATGCACGAACAGCCACACTGTCTGGAGATCTTTTACATTTCGTACTGATAAGTTATCTAAGATCATTAAAGAAACTAGATAATAACAGGTCTAATGTCAAAATGTTTATAAAAATGTTTATAAAAAACGTAATTCATAAATAAATAAATAACGGCAAATGAAAAAAAAAAAGATTGATAAAAAAAGATATCGATATACGTACGTACGTACGCAAGTAAACGTAAATCAACTTTTTATTTTAATCAATATAAAGGAACTACTACAATTCCTTATATAATTATAAAATAATCTTTTTTGCATTGTCAGTCCGGCTCAAATAATTCCCAAATTTTACTAACAAAAGTACTATTCATGTAATTACAACCCGAAAAACATGATATTATCCAAATCAGGTAAACTTACTAGTTCACATGGATCAACGTTCTTACTAAATCTGGTCATATTATTATAGTGTATAGATTTCCCAGTAAACGCAGTAAAAAACAATGTTGATAAAATAAAAAAATTCTTATTTTGATTCTTTTCTTTCGGTGAATAGATTTTAAATTCCGCATGTATATTTAGAATATATAGATTGTTTCTTTTCTTTCGGTATTATAGTTATGTAGTATATTATGTATTATATATATACGTAGTATATTATGTACGTAGTATATTATGTATATAGTATATTATAGTTAACTGTTAATTTAACTATTAAATGTTAAATTGTTTTTACGTATTATTGTCTTGTATACATTAGGTTCCCGAGTCCGATTGAAGTATATCAAAATATAGTTTAATTTTTTTTTTAAAAAAACCTTATTTTACTTTGATCAATTGAACCTTATCGTAAGAAATTTTAATATGGAAATTTTATGGAAATTTTATAGAAATTTATGGAAACTTTATGGAAATTTCATGGAAATTTTATGGAAATTTTATTTGAGGTCAATACTCTACGTATTAATACTGTATTAATGCTGTTTTAATACTATATTAATATTGCATTATTACGTATAACTGTATTAATCTCTATTTACTCTGTTTACTCTATTTATTCAATTACTCTATTATTCTACGTATTTATTCTATTACTCTATTTATTCAATTACTCTATTATTCTACGTATTTATTCTATTACTCTATTTATTCCATTTACTCCATTTAAAATTTTAAGAACGAATTTTAATTAATTATTATATGAATCGGTTTTTTAAAAATCCTTTTAAAGCACGTACGCACGCACGTACGCACGCACGTACGCACGCACGTACGTACGTACGTACACGTGTTTAAGTATGTACATGGTTAAGTATAATACTAAATCATTTGCAGATAATTCATTTACAGAAAATCAAGACGCACCATAAACAATAAACTATTGTTTGACATTCCGAAATTTTAATAACCTAAAAAATATATCTATACGAAACGATAAATGCGTATGATTAACATATTATACAATCTT